TACATTACAGTACATTACAGTACAGTACATTACATTACATTACATTACATTACATTACATTACATTACATTACATTACATTACATACACAGATACATACATACTTACGTACATACATGCATACATACAGACATACATGCATACATACATACATACAGACATACATGCATACATACATACATACATACATACATAGACATGCACAGATTGACATCGGCAGACCGTACTCTGGCTTTTCACCCCCTCTCTCTCTCTCTCTTTCCCTCTCTCCCCCGCTCTGTTTCTCTATGATTCTATATCCAGTATATATATATATATATATATACACTCTCTCTCTCTCTCTCTCTCTGTCTCTTTGGCAAACTGTGCCCTCAGATTCGATATTTCCACAGCTGGCTGGGCTCGAAAAAATGTTATTTACCTGTTTGTCACCTCTTCCTGTGCTGCTGGCACATAGGAGCCCCGAGAAGGCCCTCATGCAGCCAAAGGGTACACACACACACACTGCTTCCTCAGCGCTTTTATTGGGACCATGGATGTGAGAAGCCCATGCCGTTGTGTGTAGGGCACCGTTGCATGGGGAAAGAGCTAGTTTTAGGATTTGTTCTGAACACTGAACATCGTGAACCGACTTTGCAGACTGCTCAACTTAACCCGCAGTTTTGGGCACAGGGCGGGGAAGGCTCAGCCATCGTTTTTGTTATGACTGTAGCATGTACCTGTACGACACTCACTCAGATCCTCATCACAAGGGCCCTGATTATCTCGAAGGTGAAAAACACTTACCGGTACTATGCCTCTAGGGCTTCCAACGCAAGTATTATACTATAGTACATCTCAAGACTCAAGACCCTACAATTACTAAGGCCTGAACATGAGGCCTGCTTGGTAGCTCCTGCGTTTCGAGGCTTTGGGCTGCTCTGGAGAAGGCAGTGTAGAGGAGCTGCGGCAGCGCGCGGGTTCCACGCAACTGGCCTCATCTGACTTCCTTACCAGATGATAATAGATGATGATCTCGAATGAGGGCTTCTGAATACATGGAGAGCGCAAGAATCCAAAGGGAAACTTGGTGGATTCTGAGGCATGTCGGTCCATGTGCAGCTTCTGTATAGGTTGTGGCTGAATCCTCCACCCCGGCGAAGGACAAGCCGACAGCCTTGAAGACTCGTACTGCAGCCTTGGACCCAAGAACCCTGCGGCCCGAAGATTCTAGAGCAGCGGAAGCCCCACAGCCCTAGTCATATCACCAAAGCACCCCAGAAATGCTTCGTTAAGCCGGAAGCCGCTGTAAGCCCCGAGGCTGAACTCTTTGGAGGACCTTTCCGTTGGAAGCCCCGCTGAAGTGAGGCTTTAGTTGTGGCTTCTTCGAGAGGGCCACTTTGCGGTTATATGATGGACCAGTCAATGATTGTTGTACGTGTTGGCGGTAAGGCTATTTCGTAGTCGTAAGGCGCACGCCGTGCACGTTTGGTTCAGGATACAGCGCTGATTGTCTGCACACTGCTTCCGGCAGAGCTCTACAGCTCCATACCTTCGGGCACAAAGCCTTGAAGCTTTGTAGCCCTGAAGCCGTGGAGGATGCAGATGACGAGTTGCCGGGGTGCGGCTCACTGGGATGCAAATAGCCTCCCTCTCCAGACCTGCACGGAGGGGTGCGGCAGATTGTTTGGGTTCACACGGTTTAGAGTTTCAGAGCCTAGAGCTGAGCATTCAGATCTTACTAGCAGCTTTACCCAAACCCTTCTTTGCTTTTTTTCACCTTGTCGTCGCGGTGTTTGCATCGTTTTCCGCGCATGGAGGGTTCGACGACCTTGGAGCCAAACGTGAACTGGTTGCAGTTTGTGGTGTTTTTTGATTAGGCGGGGTGGGTGAATTGGTAGCAAAGGCAGTCGTTGAGAGAGGCATCAGTTAGGATAGGAGCACAGGCAAGCAACAGCTATATAAGGCTATGTAGTTATCACTTCGTCTGCTCTGACCAAAATACCCGCCTGCAAACCAGTGCTCCGCAGTTTCGCACCCTGTTGTCGAAGATGTGAAAGACTTTCGCAAGCATCATTTGTCCTTCTTTTCCTAAGCCACGAGCTCAGACTGTTTCTGGGTTTCCAAGTCAACCCGGAGCCAGCAGCGGCCCACACCCCGCATTCGGTTCTCACAGGCCCGGCACCGCCTCCAGGAGCCAAGCAATGCCAGCATGGCTGCGGGTAGGGGGGGTGGGCGACGGGTGCTTCCTGTAGGTCAGGATTCGAGGGATGAAGACCGGGGATGTTCACGCTTGTCGTTTCTGGTCTTGAAGTTACCTTTGCTGTCATTTGCTGTCACTGGCATGATGATGAGAAGATGAAGGACGAAGGTGCAGGAAGAAGGACAAGGACGATGTGGAGCAGTAGGCTGAATTTGCCAATGTGAACGACGGCAGGGTGATGAGGCTGCGGATGATGATCAGCGGTAGTCGTGTTATCGTTGACGTCTTAGGCAGTTCGATCAGTTTTTTGAAGTCCGTCGTTAACAATCGAGATCGGGGTTGCGGGTGTCGCTTCAGCGGTCCCTTATGGACCTCCGACGACGGCCGTGCTGGAGTGAATAGATATGGAGAGTTCGGCCTTCAATACGTAGACCGAAACTGCGAAGTTTCTGGACGTTTATGGGAAACTACAAGTGTCCTTCGAATGTTGTGCTGCCCGGCTGCCCCCGGGCAGCCCTCTTACTGGGGGGCAGGTTTCCCGGCTTCAAACCCCGTAGCCCCATTGAGCTCTTAGGACTGAGCCTTGGTTGACACGATGCTATGAAGAGTGTTGGTCCGCATGGAGCCGATGCTTTGTTTGATTTGCTTGGCCAGTACCAAACTAGTCGTCCATTGTTCTTTCTGACTTTGACTGCTATGCTGGCTCTTCCGAGCTAGCTGGAGGCAAAACAAACTCCCTAAACCTCCTACCTCCCTACCCCTGAAAACCCTGCCGAAAGAGGCGCCTGGCTCCCAGTGGCTGCAGCAACGTCCGCTGCCGGCTTTGCTGCCTTGGCGACCTCGCGGGCCTGGAATGCAGCCGCTTAATTACGATAAGGAATGCTGTACAAGGGATACGATCAACTACAAGGCTATACAGTAGGGGGTGCTTAGTTATTATTATAGGATACTGACAATTGTAAGGCAGGCTTACAATGAGGTATACTATAAGGACTGCGCACTGTAAGGTTTACTATATGGGATACTATCAACCACAAGGTGTCTTAGACGGGTACCTACATCGCTATATAAGTAAGAGGCAAGATGCAAGATGCAATGGATACTACAAGAGATATCGAAGGGGCACTAAACGGATGCCTAGGGCTTTGGTGTTTAGGATTTGGGGCTTCGGGTTTTGGAGGTATGGTTTTGGGGTTGGTTTCTTCAGGATAGGCTCCAGAGTCCCACCGTAGTGGTGATAGTACGAGGAGGAGCGGGGCAACAGTGGTACTACTGGCTGGGTTGATGCTCATTCGGCGATGAGGAACATGGCTACCAGCTGCCACTACTCGCGAGACCGGTCATAGCAGCAAGATTGGCAATAACTTGTTTGTTTGGAGTTTTTGCCCCACAAGCAGAGATGACGGTAATGCAAAAAATGGTCGCCACAGCTTCCGCGGGCTCTTTGTGTTCACGGTTTACATACAAGGCCTGCACGAAGACAACGATGCTTGGCTGGATTGCTGTCTTTTGCTGCAGTGAAGTGGCTCGCACATAGATAAACAAAGATACACATACACATGTACATATATATATATATATACACAAATATTCATATATACACATACTTTGAGAGGGGCGCGTATGAAACTCTTTGGTATCTTTGGACGATAAGTGCTGTCATGTCTGATGCGAGACGATCCGAGACATGCCTCATGGTTTGGCATCTTTCGTTTCGAGCCGAAAGGAGCCCATGCTATTGTTCAGACTTGACGTGCCTCCTGCCTGACCAAGGATGACTTCTTGCTGACTGATCCTTGGATCGCTTTCACAGCTTCTGATTGCTGTCTCTCGGGCATGTCCCTGTAAGCACGATGCGACCACGCAGGGCGTGCATGACGTCATCCTCGCTGATTGTGATGTGCGTGGATGTTGCCTTGGGTTTCATGCAGGGCATCGCATTTGGATTGTTGTTTCGGCCTCCGGCCCGCCTCAACTAAATGAACCGCGGGCCCCGCAACAAGGCTAATCACGTGTGTTGTGGTTGCAGAGTGTCGTGGACCAGCGTAAACCCTAGCATCGGAACCCAGCGTGCTGCATCATGCCTGTTAGCACGCCGTGACTAGACCACAAATGTGAAACTTGAAGAGTCTGCTGACAGGGCTGTAAAGCATCACTGGGCCATCTTCGGTGCGGTAATGTTATGTTTAGCAATCGCCGCGTAGGAATGACCCTTGTAGTCCTGGACCATCAAAGGAGCCAAAGACAACAGCCTAAGCTTGCCATTGTTGTTCCGACCTCCTTGCCTTCTTGAAATCATCCTTCACTCTTTGCTGCTTGTGGGTTGGCAGCTGTACCTGTATGAGTACATCGTTTCCAGGTGCTGACAAACTCCAAACCCTAAGCCGTACTCATGTGACACCTTCTCTTTGAGCTAGCAAGGGTCATTTCCCAGTTCAAGCCATACACCCTCGCCCAGACCTCGCCTGTACTTCCCACCCCAACTTTCACCCAAAACGTATACCATAACCCCAAATCATTCTCTACCTCCGGTCATAGTCTTGGCTTGCCTCCATAGGATTCCGACGATGAATCAACCACCGGCGGGGCTGAGGACATTTGGGCTCTCCCATTTTAGAGTTCCCGCTCCATTCCACGTACATGGCTGGTTGTACGAAGCATTGGTACCCTTAACTTAACGAACTTCCTGTCTGAAACTTCGCTGTCGGATGGGGTTTCGGGATGATTGGGCTGGGCTGGCCACAAAGGGGTCTATGACTATGGCTTTGCGGGCTGAGGCTTTCAGGGTTATTTCTGGTCCTACTCTTCCAAGGATTGTAGGGATGCAGTTGCGGCGGGGCCATGAAACTCTGTCAGGGTTCAGATCTCACCGGGACCTGACGTCCCCTGTTCCCAGTTGAAGAGCCATAGAGGGGTGGAAGGCCACTTCGTTTCATCACGGCAAACGGTGGAACAGGAATGCAATGATCCATCAGTTCGGAGGAGGACATTAATCAGTCACTGAGTTTCAAAGCGTTCAATGGATCTTAACTAGCCTCGTCGCAGTTCTTGTGCCGTATGAGATAAAACTAAACGTAAAACTCTTGCGGTGCACGGTACGTAAGTGCCTATCGTGAATGTTACGCGAGCTTCAGAAAGGGACAGGCCGTGGAGTTGAGAAGGTCATCAGCCTGAGCTCACTTCTAGCAGCCTGAAATATAGTTTGCATTGCACGCATGCTCAGACGCCTCGCCCAGTCCACCAAACCGTGAGCTCTAAGTACGTTCTGCCTATGTCAAGGCAGCATGCGCAAAACCCAGAATTCGACACTTGCCCGTTTCAGTGACACGAGCTGACATCGGTATTCTGCATGCGTGAACGACGCCTGCTTGTTCCAGCGGCAGGCGGACACATCAGAGTCCGACGATAGCCCGACCTCGAAGACTCAAGGACCGTCATTTAATGCCATGTTTTGCTCGGCTCTATGTTCTCATTACGAGCCGAAGCATGTCTCGCCGCTGGAAAACGAGCCCTGACAGGCTGTGCTTCCAAGTGTGGTGCAGCTGCAGCTGTTGATTGCGAGAACTACCGACTTCTGGCCGCATCTAACTTCCTTCATGCTGATGCGGAATGGCCGATATGTCCAGGTGCAAACAAATCTTGATGTACTAGCCCACCAGATCTGAGCGTTCTCAACAACCAGCGACTAAAGTTGACAAAAGATCACCCAACTCAAATCAACTTCCCGAATCCTGTTGTCTGCGGACGAAAGAAGGCGAAGACTTCCAAGCCCCAGGCATCGAAACAGCTGATCCTGAAACAGCTCGGTGTTTGTCTTGGGCATTGCAGTGCAGCTCACGATAGAGGTTTTTTCGTGTCACAGTAGCCCTGGAGTATGTTTGCAATGACACGACAAGAGGTTGTGCCGCGTGTTGCGCCTCGCTTGGTGCCGGGCGACGACGCTGTGACATGCACGGAGTCGCAGCCTTCGTAAGCTGCAGGAGATCCCGATTCATACTAAACATAAGACTTGTTGAGCTGCGCCTGCGCTTGTGCCGGCATACATGTGTATGACGGTGCATCTGCCCAGTTGGGTATAGGTTTTAAGTCACTACCGCGCCTTTGTCTGGCGGTGCAACGAAAGCAGAAGTTCTGCGTAATCGAACGTCTCTGTATGTACATGTATTTGTTCCTGCATGCTAAGTTTGCCACGTCTACAGACATGTACAATATAATACAACATATAGACATGCACATGTAATGCCTTACGTGGCGTATCAAAACATACGTTCATGGCTTTTTGTTTGTATGGCTGTTTGGCCTGTTCACTTATCCGGCACTTCTGCATAAATATAGCATGCTCTAGACTAGCAGGAGCATGACATGCAGCAGCCCCGCGGACAGCTGCTGCAGCAACGGGTGCCTTCGGATTCAACGTGGGGTGACCTCGGATTTGTTGTACTGGCTGTACCTGCAGGATCTCCGTCTAGTCCTAGGCCCGCCTGATATTTATAATTTACAGTCCCCCCGATTGATGCTTCTGTGGCCCACCTTCGGGTCTCGTCTGTGATGCGGCTGTTGCCTAGAGTGGGTGTTTTAGAGCTGGCAGAGCATCGCGCAGCACAGATACCTGCTACACTCGAGATATGCTCACCTCTTTTGCAAGCTCGCAGTCGCGACAAGGCATCCACTTTATTTCGATGATTGTGGGATGCGGAGCACTTCGACAAGGTTAATTTGGGTATTGCCCGGTCTTTGTCAGTCCTGCAATTTCCTACCAGCTAGAGACGACTAGTTGCCTTGATCGCAGACATACTGTAAAAATCATGTCGACGAAGCTTGTCTTTGATTTTCAAGTCAATGTCCATAGGGAACATGCCCGAATGCCAGGTGCTGTGCTGAGCATTGCGGGCAACTCCCCCGAAGTGTGGCCTGTGCCTTGCACAGCTTCGCTTGCTTATGGGTTTCGGCATTCCGTGATATTCTGGACTCTAAGCGCTGAGCAGTTTGGAATCAGGGTTGGGCCACGTCAGCCCATTACAGTAAGATCTCAAAAACAGGCGGCAATGTCCCGTGGAGCCCGAGCAGCCGGAGAGGTTTTGGTCACAGACGACCAAACGATTAGGAGATTTCTCTTTTTTTATTTGTCGGCTTTGCCGAAACTGAAGGATGTCACATGTGAATCCCGTCTGTAGCCTAGTATGGAGATCCATGGGTGGTACCGGGTCCTTCCTGTTCTACCATGCTCCCACAGCGTCTAAGCTGGCTTGATGCTTCGCACGGTCCTCCCGCGAGGGTCTCGCTGGGCTATCGTGTGATGCCCTGTGTCCTGTGCGGGGTGGTAGTGGGTTTAGGTTCTTACATGGCGATGTTCAGGTCCGGGTTTCTGTTGCTTAACCAGTTGTGTCGCAGGATACGAGCCCTTTGACTTGTCTTGTTCGGACTTGTTGCCTGGAATCCGTGCCTGCCTTATGTGAGCGTTCGAGTCGAAATCCTATCAACCCTAAACCCAAGCTCCTTGAGTCCTGAGCTCTCAATCTCGAACCGTCCTAAGCCCTCCACCAGGTACTCTCCACTGCAAAGCCCAGTCTCAGCCACGCGCGCTCCGACGCCGGCAGACCGAGAGTTGGACTCTTAGAGCCCTGAATCTAGCATCGGGGCCTTACTAGCCTGAGTAGGGTTTTCGGGTACATTATACTATCGGGGTTTCGTATAATGAAACACACGGAGGAATAATGTCACGGCGGCTTCCGGCTTTTGTTTGGATGGGGGTCGGAGGCTTAGGGCAGTCTAGGATGTAGGGTGCTGGTTTGAAGGGTTTACGGCCAGAACCGTGAAGAGTTTCAACGACGTGCTCTCTTCAGCAAAGTAGGCTTGGTTGCTTGCCTTTCAATATGATACGGATGATGTGGAATCAAGATCCATCTCATGGGGACTGCTCGCAGAGGAGCGGAAGAATGAATCTGTGTTGACTCTCAAGCTTGGCAGTGTGCTTCGAGCATCTAACCCTAGGGCTCCGGTTGCCCAAATGATGGGTTACTGGGTTACATACTGCATGGTTAGTATCTTGCTATTTAGGTAGCTGCAGCCTTAGAGTTATCCAGGACAAGGCTGATGCAGGACTACATGGCTAAGAGTTTCCCGGCGTGCGTGTTTTCATGCAGCTGGAATTACCAGAACCCTCATGCTAGCATGGTGCTTTGCAAATTTATACGGGAGAAGCATCAGAAATGCCAGTATCAAAGCTAATAGCCATCTCGGAGATTGAAAAGCGAATCTACCAACAGTTCGTGCTGCTGGTGTTGATTGACCACGCAACCCTTCAGGTGCCTCCGTGCGAGCGTCGACGCACTGCCAGTTTTCGGGCTGCCAGGGCAAGGTGAGAAGCCACCATCAGGGGAAGGATGAGTAAACGAATGCTTGGTTGCAGATAAGACTGCAACTCTGTGGGTAAGGTCCAGGCGGTTCTACTACAAGTGTATCCCACTGCTTAGAAGCAAATTCCACATCCCCGACTCCCACAGCACTTGAAACGTCCGCAAGTTAGCCCTGCTCGGTGACATGAACTACGAGGCACATACAAGTCACTGCAGTAACTATCGGCGCTTTTCTTACAATGTCTGCAGGCGCCAGGCACCAGTGAAGCAGTGTCGAGGTACCCAAATACAGCATGTCACCTGCCGCACAGTCATCGTCGCTCGGAGAATGAAATTTCGTCGGCTTGGCCTCCATCCCTGGCCAGGTGATGAGCAGCTGTAGCAACCGGTGCTGCCGCAGCCATTGCTCTCAGCTGCCCCAGGGCCTGCCATGCCCTTTACATCGGACTCCTGGCCGACAAATGAAGATTTCAGGGTATATAGTTGAAGACAGCCAATGGCGACATCATGTGGAGGTTGCGGCGCTTACACTCGACGGTCATGCTTGCGTTCGAGAAAATGAGCCACCCTTGCAGCCTACTTCGCCGAGGAAGACGCCGCATGGGCCCGACAAGACAGAGGTGTCTCGGCAGACGGAAGTAGCTCCAAGCGGCCAGTATAGCCCTCTGGTACACTTCGCCGAAACCGGCAGTTTCAGTGGTCGCTGCCCGGCCTTGACAAAGACCCGAGGCTTCTTGAAGTCTCGTCCTTTGTCATTCGGGTTCCTGGAACCTTACCCTATCCCCCCAGGTACCTACTATATAGGGCCTTATAGGGGGTCTAGTACCCTATATAGTAGGTACCTGGGGGGTGTTAGGGTTACATAAACCCTATAGCACCCAAAACCAAAAATCCTACTCTGCATGTCGGCTGCCAGGGATAGAAAGCCTTTTGCGCGGCCCGAGGCAGCTCCGCAGCCGAGCAGCAAGGAAGCGCTCTGATCCCCGGCTTGCATCGACTTCCTCTCTTGTGCTAGTTTGTCTAGCAGCGCCTAGCACGTTGCGGTTGTGTTCAAGTAGGAACCACGAAGAGATTGAAGGTGGAATGGCTGTACCCTTGCAACTTCTTCGATGTATGCATGGCTTCTGGCCGACCACAGACGGTTTCGTAAAGAGAGGCCAGAGAGGCAACATGTCGGCAGAAACAAGTATACAGTCGAAGCTTCCGACGGCCTCAAATCCGCAATATGACAGAGCCCGAAGACCATGTAGGCCCAAAGCAAGCTAGATGTTGCCTGAAGAGCCGCAATAACGAGTGACCTGCAGAGCTGAAACTCCGGCACCGACGGCCACTTATAAGGCATCACGCTGACTAGATGTGTTGTATACATATATATATATATATATATATTTGTATATACACAAGATTATGAGAGGTTCCACGTTTTACGGCTGAAGGGTTCTGGAGGAGGGGACGGAGTATGTAGATTAACTGGGGCTACCCATATGTGTCATACATTCGACCTCCGGCCATTGTCAGTCTCGAGCTGAAGTTAACTCGCGGTTGCCCGAAAGGCTTCAAGCTCCAAGCCGGGCACTTTAAGTCGTAAATCTGGAGCACTGCGGTTTCTAGATCCTCAAAACGTTCGACTCGCTTGATCTGACGTTTGCAGTTTGTTGAAACTTTTACCCTTTTCCGGATTACAAGAGGAGAATACCAGTAATCATACCCACCCTGCATTAGGCTTTCGATCAAGAAATTACCCCCAAGCACTGGGGGGGCTCCGAGCCTTGTGGGTTCCAGTGGGTTTAGTTCGGGTGTCGGATGTAAGTATATAGGGTTTAGGACCGGATTTAGGATTTCTATCAGTTCGTGGATGCTGACTGTAAAGTTTGTGAGTTTGGGGTTTAGGGTT